TGAACTTATTATCGACATGGAGGGAAATTCCAAGACCAGCAGACGATGCAAGTGCGCAGAGGATAGAAACTATGAATCATCTTGCCACCGAATGTTTTATGTACAAACTAAATTATTGTTATATAGAAGTACATACGACATTGAAAGCTTCGTTCAGTGGCTTTCCACTATTAACCCTGAAACTGAAAGATGTACTCCTAAACATCATAAAAAGAATTTGTTTTCATAGAATGCCATGCTGATCAATGGAAGAACCCAGCTATCTCAGTTTCCCTGAAGGCATCGCTGCCTGACAAATCAAAACCTGCTTGAAGTAGGGTTCGCTATGTTAGAACGACTGAAAAGTGAAGATCGGATAAAGAAAATTCCACCCTCGACCATTTCATGGTCAGGCAGCAATGATAATGCCATATTTTTCTGCACATGTTAACCAACAGTGTTCGAACCTAGGGCAGAGCAGTTCCTTCGAGTGTATACTATGGTCTTTGTCAGTTTGTTCGTGCAAACATTTAACCAATGGGGGTTGCAACCTTATTACTGAACTCATTTCTATGATCCGACAAACGGTGAGGGGGTGAGGAGAAGGATATTACGGCGCTTAGATAAAGCCTAGGTCTAACATAGAGCCTTACCATCATCCCTGGTATTAAGTCGTACGCTCTCTTACCAACGCTGCTCACATCTTGCCTTGTGTTCAAATCCTTCTCATTTGAGTTTCGATCTAGGTTTCGGCTTCGCTCAGTCGGAAATGACAGTTATTCATATTAACCTCAACTCCATAAGGCGAACGACTTCGATCGTTCTTGGAACAGGTGATATGATGAAAATATTTTACCGTGCTTTGTTCAAACATTCATACAACTATGTATCCTTAATTAGGGTTAACCCTACTCTCTATACGATACCAATCACTTTGTAGTTGTAGCTGCCTCTTAAACTCATCATTTCGGCGTTCATAAAATGCTTCCGTGGCTGCCTTGCAAGCGATTTCACAATTTGGTGAAGTTCTCCTGGATCTGAATCCAGGGTTATAAACTGAAGTCTCCTAAATATTACACAGAATATCTTTCTCTGAGTTTCCAGAAAATAAACCAATATCGAAACGAAAGATACTCTGATCAGGTTAAAGAGAGAGTTAACCCTACTGATTGCCTGAGAATCATTACGTCACTCCTGACTGCCTTAGATCTGTGGTGAAATCCAAACTATGGTCACATTACCAGTGTTCAACAAGCGTGGTACAAAGCAGAGTTAACAGAAACTCCACAAATGTACTTCGGAAACAATTATCTGGCTATCAAGGCTATAACTATCAACAGACTAGTGATTTTGCAGTTAATCCACAGAAAAGAACTTCAGAGCCTCCTGCAATGAACCTTGAAGACAAAAAAAACTGACCATTCGCTTGAAACAACATTAACCTTTAACACTGTCATAGATTTAACGAATTTCATCTTGTCATAAAACCCTTTTATTCCCGTTCTTTGATCAGACGGATTTTTCTAAAAGATAATATCAGATAAAATTCTTGCATTGGCGCTTTCACCACTGCTGGAAAAGAAGGACCCATGACATGTCAGTGAAAGAATCTGTCTGATCAGAGAACAGGGGTGAATATGCCATAGTGCGATAAAATTGCTAGATTCGCAAAACCCGTAATAATGTGAAAACTAGGAGACAGCCTCGACAAAGTAGAAATCCAAAATTTTTAATCCAGCAGTGGATTGCAGAAACACAATGATATTTTAAATAGAACTCAGCGCTGCACTCTTTTAAGAGAAACAACCCTGAAATTGAAGAATGGAATGACCCAGGACGGAAGTATAAAGAAACACATAACACAGTACTGTGCGATCTAAGCAGGACTGTGGCAATGATTGACTAATAGGCATTTATCTTGAAACCTCTTTAAACAGTTTTCCTATTATCCGTTCCTAAATATTGTATCTTGACAATCGGAAGAAATCCCAAACACATGCTACAGAAACGAGGCTCGTTTTGAATATTGCTGCTGTGACAGACTTAACAAGGTTGAGAACGCATTAATCTGAGATTCTCCAGCTTGAAAACAACTACTTTTTTCTGACTGACAGATTACAAGTGCTGCGGTGTGAACATGTGATCAAGGGTGATGCAACGGTAAACACGCGCAAACCGAACTCTCTCAAAAAGTCATATTGGAAGGTGTCATGGAGTAAAACAACCTAAATGATTCGAGTACATCAAATGCGGCTCTGTCCAACTTAAGCTGATTCCCTAGCAATACAAGAGGAATAACAGCTGCGACAACGTTCGAATGGACATTAAAAAACACCGATTATCTGTTAGTTTCGGAAATTAACAGTTCTCCCCAAGTAATTTCAAATTACTAGCCTATTATGTAAATATACTATCGTAATGGCCACAGAATTTAAAGAACAGAGAGTAACATTGTATGGCACTATTTTTTTTCCATTCACGGCTCGAAGCAAAACAGAGATTGAATCCACTGAACTCAGAAGCATTTCGACACCACATCATGGAGAAATTATCAAGGATAAAAAACAAGTCATATCTAAACAGATCAAATACGAATAATTACTGGCATGGATGATTTGAAGCTGACAGGTCTTATGATTTTACAGTTGGCAATACGAAAAACAATACAAAATTTTATTTAAAAGAATGTGAACGTTAATACTGAATTGGCTGTAGTCATCATCAGAGTATGTTACTTAATAATAGCTAACCTATATAACACATAACGAATAATTTTCTGGATGAAAACTGGTTTTTATAACATGTGTTAACTTTGATTTTTCTGACTAATGATTTAATATCCGACTTTTCCTTAAACTCCCTCAGCGTTATATCGGCTTTATCGTAAATATCTCTTAGAAGTGGTAGTCGATTTCTCTAACTATTGCTGGCTGCTAGAACTATCAAATGTACTTACCTAACATCCTGCGCACATAACAAAGTACTGTAGGATAGGCTGCAAACAGAAAAGACAGCTTATTCACCACCAGGAGCATGATTTCGCATCTGTAACTAACGGCCCTCCGTGTAAGTATGAAAAAAAGCCAGAATACATACAAATCACATATGATTCTTTCGCTGTATGACGGCCATTTTGGAAAACTTCTTTTAATAAAGTTGATGGTGCGGTGCTGATCTCCGGTTCTATTTCATCAGTCAGTGCAGTTTTTTAAGGGAGAGTCTACAGCCAATTGACAAGCAACCCGTTGACAAGAAGCAAGAGGCAAAACTACAAAATGACCCTGGAAACGCATTACACAGACCGTAGAATGAAAATAACCAAGCGCAGAAAAGATTTTTAAGTAATTAACAAAGCAAACTAAATTTTACAAAATATTTTCATTATATGCTTGTCCATCGTTGTTTACCTTGATAGCCTGCAAAACCGTTTTTCTGCATATACATCAAGTACGAACGGCCAACAGATTTCCTCCTCCAGGAACTTTTCTTTTTAGCATATTCCCATGAACAGAGATCCATTAATCGAGTCAATCTTCTGGGCTTACTTCTGTTTTGTTAAATCTTCGATGACTCCTAGCAGTTTCATACTGTTCTTAATGATATCGTGCCACCTTTCATTTGGTGTTCCGCTTCTTTTCTTCTCTGGCAACAAGAGTACTTTGGCCACATTTCCATCGTACTCAGTGGATCTTGTTTTCACATGGCTGAACCAACGGAATCCGCTTTCGATGAGGTTTTGTAAAATTGGTGAAACCGCTGTAGTGCATCCTATGAAACGCCGTTTCAGACGTGTTCTTTTCTGCTGACACCACACATTCATCTGAGCATTTGCATTTCATTCTCTGGGAATAACTTTTAAACAGTTTAGAACTTCCGAAAGCTTTTAGTCGGCCGCTTAATAAAAAGGTAAAATCCATCAGCTTCGACGACGTTTCATTTTGAAGATGTCGCAAAATACAACTGTTCTAGTATTTCTAGTAAACAACGCTAGATTTCTTCAGGTAC